TTCAAGTCTCGCACATGATCTAACTCCTCCTTGCTTTTCACCAACATTTCATCCACATACACCTCCATGTTTCTCCCCAGTTGCTCCTTAAAGATTTTATCGACCAACTTTTGATATGTGGCGCCCGCATTTTTTAGGCCGAATGGCATGACCACGTAACAATAGGTTCCTCGACTCGTTACAAAACTCACCCACTTCCTGTCCTCTCTCGCCAAGGGAATTTGGTGATATCCCTGGGAGGCATCCATCAGGCTTAACAGTTCGCACCCCGCGGTTGAGTCGACCAGCTGGTCGATTCTGGGTAGTGGGTATAAGTCCTTTGGGCATGCTTTGTTCAGATCACGGAAATCAATGCACATCCTCTATTTTCCCTCTACTTTCGACACCATCACTGTATTCGACAACCATTCGGGGAACTGGATCTCCTTGATATGCCCTGCTCCTAATATCTTCTCAACCTCCTTCTCAATGATTTTGTCCATCTCTGCCCCATGGTGCCTTCTTTTCTACTTCACCGGCCTCACACTAAGGTCGATGTTCAGCCGATGCTCGATCACCTCCGCGCTTATCCCCGTCAACGCTTCTGCTATATAGGCGAAAATGTCAGCAAACTCCCTAACCAGATCGATCAACCTCGACCGAATTGGCTTTTCCAGGTCCTTCCCGATTCTGAACTTCCTCTACTCACACCCCTCGATCATCTGAATCTCCTCCACTTCTCCCCCTGGCTGGATATCCATCTTCTCCTTACCCTTCTCCATTCTCTGTTTATCCTCTTTCGACCTCGACCCACCTGGTCGATTAACCTCTTCTTCCTTTGACTTGGCCTGCCTCTTTGCCAGTTTTTTGTTATTGCTCACCGTTGTTTGATAGCAACTCCTTGAAGTGAGTTGATACCCGGCAATCTCCCCTATGTTTTCGCCCACAGGATACTTGATCGTCATGTGGTACGTAGATACGACCGCCTGGAACGCATTCAAGCTCGTCCGCCCCATAATAATGTTATAAGATGATTCAGCTCCTACGACCACAAACCTCACCATGCGCACCTTCCTCAGCTCTCCCGCTCCCAACGCCACTGGCAAACTTATCTCGCCCATCGGCACCACCTCTCTTCCATTGAAGCCATAAAGTGTCGTGGTCACCGGCTTCAGCTCCATATTCAACTCCTTGTTAATTTGCACAAAATAGTCGTAGAACATCACGTCTACCGAACTCTCGGTATGAATAAAAACCCTCTTCACGTCGAAGCCTGCAACCTCCGCGGTTATCACCAAAGCATCGTTGTGCGGTAGGACCACTCCCTCGGCATTCTCCGCCTTGAAACTTATCACCGACATACGAGTCGTAATCCCCATCTCCTCTCTTTTCCTCTTAGCAGCTCGAGCATGCTCCTTCTTGGCCCTATTCGAGTCACCATCCGTTGGCCCTCCGGAAATCCTGTAAATCGTTCCTCTCTTCATCGGGGCCTCTCCTCCCTGGCCCCCTTTATCTCTATCTCTTCTCGGCTTTTTTCCTCGACCACCTCGGCTCTCTCCGTCATCTATTTCTTCATCCCTATCACTCCTTTCCTCCGAATCATCTCGACACCTTCTCCTTCCTTTCCCTCTCGCCCTATCATGATACACAAACTCTTTCAAATGTCCTGCTCGAATCAACCTCTCAATCTCATCCTTCAAATGCCTGCAGTTCTCCATGGTGTGGCCGTAATCTCAGCGAAATCGAAAATATATATCCGATCGGGGTCGAGTTGGGCCTGTGAACCTTGTCTTCGGCCACTTCACATCCTCGGTCGACATCTTCTGCTCCATAGCCTCGAGCACCTCTGTCAAATCTTTCCTCAAGGGTGTAAAATTATGGTATCTCTGTCTTTCGAACAACAATGGCCTTCCCTTCCACCTATTGTCCTTTTTCTCTCGCTTCGAATCCCGACCTTCCCTCCTTGGTGATGTCTTTTTTGACCCACTTTTGTTGGGCGAACTCCTCCTCGGTGACCTCCCTCTTGGTGGGGTTTGCTCCTTCTTTGGCTCTGGTCGAGCCGGCCCTTCCAACTTTGCGAACTCTACCTCCATTTTCTCCAAATTAATATACTTCCTACAACGCTTCAAGACCTCCTCATACGATCGAGCAGGGGTCTTTTCCAGGGACGTTCGGCAAGGCCCTGCTCGAAGACTTCTTATCAATCTTCCCGCCTTCACCTCATCTGAAGTCGAATGCACCTCCAAACATGTCTGGTTATATCGAGCGACATACTTCCTCAATGACTCCTTCTCCCCCTCCCTCATTGCCATCAACGTCAACTACGTTTTCTCATGCGCCACCGCGCTCGAATATTGATTGGTAAGCTTGCTGGCAAAATCCTCAAAATCCGCAATCGACCCAGAGGGCAACTGATGAAACCAGTCAAGGGCTCCTCCGCGCAAGGTCGATAGAAACGCCCTGCAACAAATAGAATCAGAATATCCATGTAACACAGCCATATTTTCAAAGGTCCTTACATACCTCGACGGGTCAGAAGACCCGTCATACACCAAGTTGGTCTCCTTGAAATTATTCGGCAAAGGAGCAGTGAGAATCTCCCTCGAAAAGGGATGTCCTCGAGCTCTCCTCTATGGCCTCCCCTCCACCTTGTCCTGCAACTAACGCAACTGCTCCGTCATCCTCTCCATCGCCCGATCTCTTCCAACTCCTCCCTCTCCATAACTGGACACATCCTCATCTTGGTTTCCGGCCACCGTGGTCGGTGCAGTGGTGGCATAAGATGTGTGGCTCGTAACTTGCTGCACCGCCTGCGCTGCCGCAGCCGCCGCTATCCTTTGCATCTCCTCCCGGGTCATCGTCACCATTTGCTGACTGGGGGCTTGTACAACTGCCTGAGGTGGCGCTCCTCCTTGCGCCATCGCTCCTCCTTGCACCAGTGTTGGATTTGGTGGCGGTGGCGGTGGCATCGCCGTCGCGGCTGCTGCGCGAGCCTCCTGGGCCCGACTGGAGCCGGCATCTCCTCCGGGAATCACCGTCGTCACTCCCACACCTTGAAGGATAGGTGTGGGAGTGATCGGTGTCTGCGATGGCCCGAAAAAACCTGGAGGAGGGCCTTGCCCCAACGGCCTGGTCGTCGTCCAAGCTTCGTCGAACGTTGACTGCAAGTTTTTGGAAATTCCGTCCATCATAGCTGAGCTTCAAACACAACTTTTTAACTAAAAATCCCCACAGATGGCGCCAATAATGCAGGTGTGAGCGTCCTGGTCTGGTTTGGAACGAATCGATCTTTGTCCTCGCCGGTAGAACGCTGGAAACTTGCAAGTAACTCTCACACCGGGGGTTGTGCCCGGTGAAGAGCCTCCGATGCTTAAGTCAGTATGTGTATGGGTATACTGAAGTGAAGAATGAATAGAATATGTGTTAAGGGAGAAAGGCTCACCCCCTTTATATGGGGTGAGATACCTGCCCTAATAGCTGCCCGGATAAGGATGAGTTGGCTGCCCAAGCTGCCTGTCCGTACTCTTACACGCCGCGCACATGTCAGAGGTGGCACAGGGCGTTGGGAGCTGTTAGAGGTGGTTATCGCTATCACCCAATACATTCTCGACACGTGTCCTCCTGCACATGGGGTAAATATTCTCCTGGAATTCAGTTGGAAGCTCTTACACGCGCCTATGACTAGGCCGATATGTTGAGTGTTGAGTCCGCGAGATGCTCGACCTGCTGAGGTTGATAAGATTGCTCGATCTTTGTTTGGTCGAGCGATAGATTGGTCAACTGTTTGACTGGTCGACAAGTTATTTTGCTCGATCTTCCCTCGCCTGGCTCGGTTCCTCCATGGTATGACCCTCTAAACCGGTTCAGCGGACTTGTTTCTCTTGGAGTAGATAATATCCTATATCAATATTACTTTTTATTTTTATATATTATTAAAAAGATGTTATTTTTTATATATTAAAAATATATTACTTTTAAGAATACATTATTTATTATTATATAACTAAAAATATATAATTTTATTTTTATATATTTCTAAAAATAAATTAATTTTTATATTATATAAAATTATATTATTTTATTTTTATATATTATTAAAAATATATTATTTTATTTTTATATATTATTAAAAAAAAAGCATTTATATATAATTTATTAAAAATATATTATTTTTCAAAAAAAGCTTTTATTTATTTTTATAATAAAAAATGATAATGTCACTCCATCAAGTCTTATACCTTCTGCATACCAAACGCATCAATGACAAAACTTATTCCATTTCATTCCCATTATCATTTCATTCTTCAATTCATTCCATTCCTATGATATTCCATTCAATTATACCAATCAAGGCCTTAGGGATTAAGTGTTAGTAAAAGTCCACGGGACGTGGCCGGAAAAATAGTTAATAGGATCGTGAATAGTGTTGGCTAGACTAGAAGGGAGTTCAAGTCCCTTAAATCCAAACTATGTCGTTGTACGATTCATCAATGAAAGAGCTCTGAGGGGAAGTGGGACGCTTCCCTGAAGAGTTGTTTAAATCTTCGGTTTATTGCTTCCGCATTTTTACAGTTCTTATTCAAGTTCGTACTTCGTTTAGCTCACTCGCAATTAAATATACGTTTCAATAAATGTAGATATAAATATAATTTTTAATTTTAGATATGCAATGTTAATGTTAAATTGGAAAACGTCAAAACATTACTAATATGATATATTGTATCTCAAAATCTTAAACAAGAAAAACAAAATATAAGTTTTAAAATATACTACAATATAAGTTCCCTTAACTTTTCCTATAGTTAATAATTAATTAATGTAATCAGCGGAACATGGTTGAAAAAGGCTTTTTCAAATACATGACACGACACTTAATTAGTTACAACATTTACAAATGGATTTGGCCGTATTATTATACATAAAAAGAGGGATATAAAATACATATGCGCTTTACGAACACATACACATACATACAAAAATCCCTACGCCTCTCCAATATTGGACAATTCAGTGTTGATGATTTAATTTGTTTGATTCTGTAACGCAATTAATAAGGAGTTGAGCGCCAATAGTTCCTCACTAAAGCACGCGAAACTATTATTATTATCATCAGCACTGCATGTCCATGCAGCAGGCGGTAACGGGTTCAATTGCTGTCGGAGTTTCAAGATTCCGGCCATTTCCCATAGCCTCTGCCGGAGAACTGCGGCTTCCGACGCGAGCCGCTCGTTTTCGCGGTGGACAAGCGCGTGTTTACACAACGCCAGCTGTAACAGGTCCATCGACTCCCGCTTCTCGAGCATGAGCCGGTCCAGCTGAGACCGGAGGTCCGACAGGTGCTTCTGTTTCCGGACCCGCAACCGTCGGGCCGACTCGCGGTTTGAGATCTTGCGTCTAAGTCTCCGCTCGTCTACGGAGAGACGAGGGCGTGCCGGTTTGGGTCTTGGGTCCGGTACGGGAATAGAATAGTCCGGTTCGTGAAAATCCCAAAGGGGTAAATCGGTTGGGAGAGGTGGCAAACGGTTCATTTGGGGGGACAACATGGCGGTGGTTTAAGAGGGGGAGAAAAGGGGAGAAGTGATGGACAAAAGAAGAGTATTTATGGACGAAGATTGAAGGGTATTTTAGTCATTTACTGCTCTAGCTTTTTGAATAGGGCGACACTACTCGTGGTGGGGAGACGAGCGGGATCTTGGTGTGGTGTGGTGTGATGAAATATTGGGTTTTAATTAGGTAAGCCTGTGGGACCATCGTGCTCAAGCTTAGTGCTGAAGAAAATCATGACTTCGTGGCATCATATGCTGTGGTTTGGCGACACAAATACCAAGCAGTGTTGACTGTTGATGGAAAAAGGTAAATTCATTTAGATATGTATACCTGTTGTTTGTTTATGTTTTGATATTTTATCTATTTTTCACCTCTTAACTATTTAATATCATATGTGTATGAATCGTAGAAATTCTATGGTGCCACACCATATTATGGTGCCACAACATGATGTGGCACATTATGATTGGTGCCACAACTATCACACATCATGTTGTGGCACCAATCATAATGTGCCACATCATGTTGTGACACCATAATATGGTGCCACATGTGGCACCATAGAATTTTTGGTATGAATCGTGAATGTCACATATTTCAAGAAATTTGCTTAAGAAATCATAAAAAAATGGTATAATGAATAAAGTCAAGTTAAGTAAGACACACTCTCCTTAAGACAAAATAGTCATATATATTACCCGTGGTTCACAATTAACGCTTTCAGGATACAACGAATTTAGATTTGTGTATAGCGTAACTAAGATACACAAACCTTTAGCGAACAATACTCAAGTTTTGGAACTTTCAAGATAAACAAACGCAAATAAACACAAGATGATTTATGAACTGATTTGTAAAACAATGCAAAGAGATCTTAAAAATTTGATGTATTTTACTGGTATCAAAAAGACCTCCGACCGACTAGAACGAGCTAGAAACGCCTGGATCTCGAGCTGGTTGTCGGTTGAACGTCCTTGATCCTGCAGAACTCTCACACTGGAGTGGGTCTCCGGTGAAGAGTCTTTGATACTTAAATGAGCAAGTGTAGGGGACGAAGCGCAGAGAGAAAAAGCTCTCTATGTAGTATATTGAGTATATATAATCGAGAATGTAATGTGTATTTTACCATACCCCACTCCTTTCATAGGGAAAATATACCGTAGGGCTCAAGTCGAGCGCGTTAGCTACCTTGGCTGTCAGAGCGGTCAGGACCACTCGGGTGGCGCCTCGTGGTTTTACCAATGTGAGGAGGTTAATTCTCCTAAAATTCCTTATTATCCTTTAGTTTTATACATTTGGTGATATAATAGTGGACTTGACCTCAATTACCTCGAGCTGAGATGTCATCGATGTGAACGTTGTTGTCCCGTCCATCTGGTCTATCACTCGACCAGATGCCTCTTCCAGTGACCTTCAACCAAGCCTTCGGAAAGCCCCTATTCAAACTCTCGGTGTCCTCTGGCCTCCAGTGCTTTCTTCGATCAGAGGGTCTTTTAACCTGAGTAATCCCCTTTCTTCATTGGATCCGATGATCAGACTGGTTCAGTTGGCTGCCTCTCCGGTCAAGTCGACATGGTGTAGTTATCACATATCATCTAGTCCTCCTCCCCCCCTCCCTCTCTCACTTTGGTCGAGTTGGATCAAGATGATCCAAGAGTGAATTTAGTTTTTCCCTTACTATTGCCTTTATTTTCACTTCTTTCCTGGTAGTCCTTTCTTAATTTTGAATTTCAATCCTTCACCATATGTCTGCATTTCTGGCCACCGGTCTACACATGTTACCACATGTCCGCACTCGTCTCGCTATACAGTCACACCGCCACGTGTAGTCGCCAGTTTGAACGTCTTGTCCCCTGACGCTTCACCATCCATGCAAGCCTTGTGTATCGCATCACATTAAATGTACATTTAATCTTCTTCTCAAGTTTCAACTTTGACACAATGGTCGGGATCGACATGTCCTTTCACTTGCTCTTTTTAATCTAAATTGTTGAACAAATTCGAATATTGTGGCCAAATTCTCTTGAGTCTTTTTGTTTCCCCTTCCTTCGCTTTCCGCCATCTTTGAAAGGTTTTCCACCTCTACAAAAAATCTCTCTATTTACTTACTGTGCTTTCTTCTTGTGCTCGGCGAGGACTTTATTATGCACAGAGTACCCGTCGCTCTGATCACTTCTGACACTCCAAATGTTGGCTTTTCCTCTCTTCGAGCAGCGATAATGCATAAGTTCTTCCTCTGTTATCTTATTTCAATTGCAGTTCGCATGCTTGAATGTATCAATCTTTCTCTTCGACTTTTCTTTTCATTTTGTCTTAAACATATCAATCCCTTGCCATCCGTCATTTTCTTCAAAATCTTTGAATTTTTCTCTTCTTTTTGTTCTTTTTTGGCCCATTTCAGATTTTGCGACTTCAAGTGAGGGAAACTGCAAGTCTGGTCGTGATATGAGCCCCTCACCTTCTACCAATTCTCATAACCCCCAGTTTTCTCTTTAGACTACCCCCTCTGGTGAAGTCGAAAATGTCATTACTGCTTCTTGTGTCAATCCTTCCTCTGCCACCTCTCGTCTTCCTCGTCGTCCCATGAAACTTCAGGATGAAACGGACTCCGACGTCGAGGATATCACCTCTCCTCGATCCCTTGTTAGACCAACCGTCACCATCCCTATGGGTGCACCTCCACATGGGGATACACCTTTCACTGCTGAAAATATGGTCACTGTTGCTCGACCCCCTAGCATTTTCCTCACCATGTTCGATGATGAGATCAATCGTTTTCTCGTTTGGTGCGACCTTCTTTTTGTTTGGCTATGTGTCGTCTCGACCCATCGACGTTATGCTCATCCTCCTGCTGCCTGATACACCCTTTTCGAGGACCAAATTCGATTAGGTCTCTGCTCACCCTTAGCCCATATCTACACGATCTCTGTAATGTGCTCGAGCTCCCCATTAACCAGTTAGGGCCCAACGCCATCCGTCAACTTATTATGTTTTCTATATTCTCCTATTATCGGTTGGGTCGTATAGGTCAAGGTTTATTTTTCTACTGCTTCATTGCCAAGTTGCAGAGTGGCTCCTTGTATTTGCAGGCCCGCAATGGAGCTCGCTTCATCAAGGACATGCCCTCCAATATCCTTAAATAGAAAACCTGATAATTTTTTGTTCGATCTTCCTCTGCTTTACCTTTTACTTCGACCTAGATCCCATAGATAAGAAATGCCAACAGCCATATGCCTAGAACACCCATTATCTAGGTACATTTACCTTCAAATGAGGTTTTCAAGGATTGAATTGAAGCAAAGCAAAACACCTGTGAGATTTTTTACAACCACGCTTTTCGTTCGTTATCTTTTTTCTTCTCCCTTCAGATTTTGAGACTTTCAAAAGTATTTCAAAATGATTCCCATTTTTTACCTTATCAAAGCAAAGATCATGTTGCATTCTATAGCACCTCGGTCTGATGTGACTACTTATACTACAGTAATGACATATGGGCACAAAGTTTTTATTATGACTATTTTCAGAAGAAGTTTTCTTAGGAGAAGAAGTTCACTTACAGTGTTGGGAACATTCTTCCCATGAACCTTCTCAGGACCAATACTTGTATTTCCAGTGCTACGAACAAACTTTTCAAAGGGTTTCTTTACAAGTTTTTATGTAGCACACAAACCACTTATGCATGTCTTCTTGGTGATGTCTAGTCGAAGGTGTTCACGCTATGGACCACATTCTGAGGTACTAGAACCTTAATGGTTGTCTCTAGTGTAGCCTAGTCCAGTGAGATCACCATGGGTCTTCCCAATTCTGAGTAAGTTACTCATGTCTGTAGTCCCCTTGTTCAGTTTGTTTAGAGTCTGAGATGTACGCTCTACCGCAACATCCTTTTCTTTTAGAATCTTCTCATGATAAGATATAAGTTCCCTAATATTCATTTGTACGTTCATCCTCTAAAAGTGCTCACCCTTTAGAAAATTCATTTCATTGTCTTTATCTCCTAGCATTTTCTGCAAGGCAAAAAGTTCAGTCCTCGGAGATTCATTGACTTGATGTTTCTCAATAAATGCTTGGTTCGTGACTTCAAGGAATTCTGAAGGATAGAGTCTTGATCTTTTCTTGAATCAAGCCTAACTTTCTTTTGATGAGTGACTGAGGAAGTTAGTTGACTATTAGTGAGCCATTCAGTTCTCCCATTTTCTTAACCTCCTTCTTGATATATTCAACCTCCTTATTTGGATCACTTCGCCGCCCTTGTGACTTGAGAGTTATTTATTTCATTTGCAGTATGCATGCATTCTTCCATAGCTAACAAGTGCACTAGATTTTCACATGTGTCCAAATCTTCATCATCGCAAGATTCATCAAGCTCATAAGATGGAGTTTTAGTAGATTTATACCTTCATCAGACATTTGTCTCCTGAGTGAACTGCATTGTTGCTAGTGTAAGACGTAGTTCCTCAGTTCTCGCTTCATTTGAGTCCTCTCATGTTGACTTCAATGACTTGTTCTTCTTTTTTCGATTAGCATATTTAAACTGGCAGTGCCTAAAGCCTCTGCACTAACTGTTGGTGTTATATACTTAAGCTTTGCTTTAGTGGATATTTCACTTGT